AATCTGTCAAACGTGGTTTAGGTATTATTATGTCATGGGCTCGCGGGAACGGGATGGGCTATATTCTCTGCAAAGATTGAGCAAAGTGCTGAAAAACAGGTCAGACAGGCTTCACTGTGAAAATTGTTAATGAGCCAAAGCAAACTACTAAAGAAACCCAGGAAATTTTTAAGGCAGAGAACTGGGATATTTTTTGCAATGGCCAACTCAGTCACAAGCATGCGTTGCAGTTTTTAACAATGTGAGAACAATAATGTATGAGCCTCTTAAAATCAGGGACTGAGCATCAACTAAGCACGTTTGTTTAAACCAGGAGTGTTGAAACATAAGGCCGCGGGTCTATAATATGTGAAACATGTCAAATGTATCCCTCGTGAATGATATCAAGTCATCTTGAACCACAAACAACATTCCTGTAACAAAGTAGAAGCCGCAATTTTGGCAGGGACTTTTATATATCCTTTATTTATGCAGTTAAAAAATCTCGTTCACATTAAAAATTTCTTTTTTAAGAGTAATCTGGTCGAGAGGGCAGCAGAATTGCAACAAATATAACAATAGTTCTGTAAACATATTTTAAGTGGACAAGGGACCCGATTGGTTATAATGTAAGTACAATAACACAGAGTTATAAAGATACTTGAAAACAGGCCATTTTTAAATTTGATATATAAAACATTTGTGAACCCTTTTCAGAAGTCTATTTACCAACATACATAAAGATGTTACACATTAAAAAAAACACGCGGAAACATTGGAAATCTGTTTTTGGCAGGCGATCGCGAGGAAGGCTGGAAAATGTCAAAGAGGGGATCAACTTTTGGACTTTTAACTGTATTTTCGTAAGTTTTACAGCTTTTCCTATTGATAAAGTTTGCATTTTAATCAGATGTTTAAGGTTTGATATAAAAATCCGCTGTGGTTGTGCACAGAGGCAAAACTACAAAAACTACAACCGTAACTGCATGGGTCAGTCAGACACGTCAGCCACCGCCCCATAACCAGTGAATAAGTGCCTTTAACGCGTCTCCCCAAAGCTGCCAAGTGCTCTTCTCATGGTGGCTGTTACGTAACACGCCGCCTGCTCCAAGCTCGGCTCTCCGCGGTGACTTTTCTGTGTTTTTATTTGCTGCTTTGAAATAAACGTTCTTTAACGTGAATAAACAGACCGCTCCTTCATACTACGGCCGCTTTTATTCGCTGAGAGCGCAGCCCGTCATGCACCACCAGGAAATGGAGGAGGATGATGATGATGATGATTGTGTCGCTGCAGCCAACGGACGCGCGCACACACACACGCACTCAGCAGCAGAACTGGGAGGAGAAACCAGCAACAGGCAACGAGAACTTCGAGCACTGTGAGGTTAGAAGCTCTACTGACTCTAAATTATGTGAATTTTGAGCTTCAGGAGCGCACGGCATGTGTGGATTTACTTTGTGACGCCCGTGGAGCTGCTACATTGTCGCGTTTGTCACTTTAGTCACAGATATTGTGTAGCGGAAGATGGGCTGGGCTCCCCGCGTTTGCGGTTGTTTCTGGCTCAGAAAAGGCGACTTTGCGCTCGATCGGGCTTCGTGTTAGAAACTTTTTAACGCCCGTGTCTCTCTCTTTATAGGTTTCGTGCATCTACGGGTGAAGATGAGCGACGCCGGTCAGCCCAAACTTGAACTTTTCGTGAAGGTAAGAGAGTGAATGGGTGCAGAGAAGGAAAGCATCACACCCAGAGA